GCTCTTCCACGAACCTGCTCTTAATAATTTAGAGAAGCCGCCGCTCTTTTTCCTCTCCCCCCTGTGTGATCTGGTGACCCCGGTGCAGCTGCAGACCAGGCCCCCCCTTAGCAGGGACGCTCACCCAGCCTGTTGGGGACGAGCATCCCCGCCGTGCTGGGGGCCTGGCTGCCGTCAGCTGGGGCAAAGCTCTCACTGCATGGTGCTCGGTGCGGCTTTCTGCCTCCAAACTTCCATTTTCCTTCCTGAAAGTGATGCTGGGTCCATGCTGCCTGCCAGAAACCAGAGCAGAAAGAAGCAACAACTGCCCGAGATGGGAGAAACCCCCGCAGGAGTGGCTTTGGAGGCAGCAGAGTCCTGCCGGGAGCCCATAAAACCCAGTGGAAACAAAGAAGAGTTGCTGGCATCTCACACCTCACCAGCACCATCAGCAGGTTTGTTTTTCCTTGACCCCCAGTAAAACCAGCACAGCCTTGCAAGAGCCAGCCCAGGCACTGGCAGAAGGGCTGAGGCACACCAGGCACCACAGTTTGTCCCATGTAGGGGCTGAGAACTCCCTGAAAAACCTCCACAGGGGACCAGACAGGATGCATATCCACCTGGGATGGCTTACACCCCTCCCCAGAGCAGGACAGTGGCTGGGGTGGCCTCTGCTGGTTCCCAGCGCCGCTGGGGGCTCCCAGTAGCCACCATGGGCAGTGCCATAACTTCCACAACATTCACTCCCACCAAAGCATGGCTCAGCCCTTGGAGCTTTTTGTGAGCAGCAGCCCTGCTGCTTGCCCCGGCAGCTCCGTCAGAGGCCCGCTGTGGCCAGCTGGGCTTGGTTCACCCAGAAAGCCAGGGCAGGAGGCAGCCGCAGCAGGAGCTCAGTCAGCAGTTTTGGTTTTGGCTTTGCCGTCAGACACGACACTGGCGAGAGGGTGGGCCCTGCTTCATACTTTCCGTCCTGCCTCTCGGGCAGTGGTGGTGCCGGGTCTTCTGCAGCCACGGCTCCTCGGGGAGCAGTCAGGAATGGGTCCCTTCCCCTCTCGGCAGATGGTGGTCTGCAGCTGGCCAGAGGCTCCTGACGCAGCCAGTGGAGCTGGAGGTGCAGCCAAAGCATCTCCTGCTGCTGCTGAGGATGAGAGAGCACCCAGTGTCTGTGCCCCTCCAGGCCCCTGGCTGTGATCCTGCCCCTTGAACACGGATGGGGCCAGGGGACATGTGGGGTGAGTGGTAAGGATGCTGCCAGGTGCCATCTCCCATCCCTGCTTGGGGGACAGGGTGTCCAGTGCCAGCAGGGATGTGAGCTGTGCTCCCCTGCACTGGGTGCAGCACTGGCTGGCACTGGGATGAGCTCCGGGCAGGATGCAGGCTTCAAGCCCCCAGCTGAGCATCCCCAGACCAAGCAGTGCCCTGAGAGGGGTGTCAGCCCCCACACCCCAGCATCCTGCTTGAGGATGGGGAGCTGAGTGCATTCTTGTTCAGGAGCTGCCCTTGTCTTTCCGTGCAAGCCAGGAGAGCAGCCACCCAGGGCTTTGACTCTCCCTCCAGCGTGGTGATGGTAGTTCAGTCTTCCTGGAGTCACTGGGCAGGATGTGGAGGAACCTGCTTTACCTCTTGTCCTAAGAAGTCCCCAGTTCTGGCTTTCCCAGCTCCACCATCCCACATCCCTCCTTCCCCTGCCCCTCAGTCCATGTCACAGCCCTCCTGCTTTTGCCCACCACTGCGCCCATACCAGCTGGCTGCCCGCTATTTGCACGAACTGGCAGGTTTATGCCCCTTTTCTCCACTCCAAATTAAGCAGGGACCCAGGCAGACTCATTTCCACTTACGTCACTAAGGTTTGCCTCAGGTTTTCTGGGAGGGCTGAGCCAACATCCTCAAGTCCCTTGGCTTTCCCTGCCTGCACCAAGAGGAGATTGGGCTGTGATGCACCCGGGATGGTTTTGGGATACTTCTTTTCTGCCACAGCTGCTTTGCTGGCTGTGGAGGGACGTGGGTGGCAAGGTTTCAGTGGTCTTTGGTTTAGGCTGTGGAGAGGAGGTTTGCTGCAGAGAGGTTAGGCAGACCCTACTGCCTGGCTTTGGTTTTTGACCTCGCTTCTTGCAGTGATTGCAGCTGCTGGAGCCACTGTGGCTCTGACAGAATAAGAGCAGGGCCCCGGTCTGGTCCTCAGCATCCCATTTTAGAAAAATTGAGGCTTACAGCAGTGTAAGCAGGTGAAGAAAAAACCCCTATAAAATTAAATAGCACCTGGACCTGACTTTTCCTTGCTCTCAGGATGTGCCATCACTGGGAATGACTCCTGAAAGGCCGGAGGGGACAGAATGTAGGCTTGGGTCTGCCCACCTCATTCCTAGTGGCATCATGACTGTGAGCAGTAGAGGATGCTCCTGAAAGCCCCTTCCCCTGTGCTTTGTGCTCACAAGTGCACAGCAGCCAAACTGAGGGAGATTCTATTTTTTTCCCTGTATCACTCCAGAGCAAGCATCCCCACCCCAGCCACGCACCCTATTGTGCAAGAACACAAAAATGCTTATGAACACACAAATGTGGACACAGCTCCCCATGCAAATCTATGTGCACACCCCCAGATTTACACAGCTGCTGTGTGCTGAACACATACACTCACCCCTTACCTGGGAGGACACGCACCCCCCTGCAGACACACAGCCCCCCAGCCACCCCATCCGTGTGCCGCAGCTCCTCCTGCGCCAGGACCCGGGTGCAGGCGCTGAAGCCATCGTGTTTCCTGCACACTCTGATCTAACAGTTAGAGCAACCGCTTCTGGCCACAGACACCCGGCTCTCCCCTGAGGAGTGCCACCAGCATTGGTACAAAAAAGCTTTGTCAGCTCCCCAGGACTGCACGTCAGCTGAGACCTCTGGAGAGCAGAGCTTCTTCCCAGTCCCACACCAGGGTCTTGCTGATGGGGAATGGGCAGACCCTGCTGGGAAACCTCAGAAAGCTGGGGCTGGTCCCTGTCTGTATCTGCACAAAGCCAGATGTGTGACTTCAGCACACCCAAGCTATACCTAAGCAAGCAAAAGCCCCTATATGTATGGTTCAGAGCCAGCCTGGCTCCTTATATAGCCCAGCCTTGATTAAAGGTGATTGGGAACAACGTGTGAGCAAGAATCCCTTAAAGAAACCCGAGCCCAAAAATACAGGTCTAAAGAAAACTGGTCGGGCAGATGAAAATGGAGAGAAAGTCCTCTCCTGGTGCTTGCAGCAGCATCTTCGAGGAGAGCCATGCCATGGACCAGCAAAGCACCATTGCTGCAAAATGGGATGCTGCAGATGCTGGGGGGAGAAGGGGCCCTCAGGTTGTGTGGCAGTAAGGTCACTTACAAGTGAGGACCGTCCTGGTCACCAGGCCATCTCAGAGCTGTGCTTTGGTTTTGGAGAGGTTGGTCTGGAGGTGCTGCAGCGGGGTGTGTGGGTTATTTGGCCTCTGGGTTAATGGGATGATCTTGGGGTGGGACTGGGCTGTCGGGCACTATGGCTGGGGAGCATTGCCATGGCCTTGCCTCGCTGGGAAAGCCGCTGTTGGTCCTGGAGGGGACAGGCTGGGCTGAGCTGGTGTGGCCATGAGTGGCTGATGGGAGGGGTGGGCTGCTGGGCAGTTTGCCTGCACCCCCAGCCATGGCCAACTTGCACAGCCCTGATGTGTCCTGAGGGGTCCAGGCCCACAGCATCTCCTTCATCCCATCCCACCGAGAGCCTCGCCCTGCCTGGTGCCGAGCCTGCTGTAGGCTTGCAGAACATCTGCATTTCCTCCCACCGCCCTCATCTTGCTTTCTCTAGTTTTGCTTTGAGTCGGCTCCAAGGTTTCTCCTTCTCTCTTCCTCCCTTTGGCGGGATGTGCTGCTCAAGGATGCTGACAGACCGGATCCTGGCACGCAGGGGCTCGGAGGGCGAGCGAGGCAGCGGGTGAGCCAGGCAGGAGCCCTGGACCCACCCAAACCCACCACCCCCAAGACAAAACCCGCCGCCCGTGGCACTGGGACAGAGCCTTGTTGGAGGGGGCCGAGCTCCTTCCTTACGGCTGCGGGGACCATCACAAGGCTCGCTAGATCGACAGGGAGCCCAAACCCATTTGGGGTGGTACCTGCCTGCATCTTCACAGCCACCTCCTTCCTTTGATCTCCCCCCATTGCTCAGCATCCTTCTCCATCCCAGAAGTCCAGGGGATGATGGAACAGTGTCCCCTCTCTGCGGTCCAGCTTGGGCATATCCCCATTACCAGAGGATCCCCTTTGCCTCAAATCCCCCCTGGGGGACAGGTGGACCCCTCTACTCCAACAGCTTGACTCTGAAGACAGTCCAGCCTGAAAGGGATCCCCCTGCTCGTGCCCAAACTTGGTGGGTTTCACCATGATGGGCTGACATGCGTTCACTGTCAACAGTGGCAAGGTCAGAGGGGGACAGTGGCACAGAGAGCTGGTGCAGAGCCATGTCCTGGAAGGATACAGATGCCCAATTCACCTTCTGCTTCAAGGAAGGGGAAAAAAAGAGGATCCAGGAAACTCTAGATGAGTCAGCCTGCTTCTGTACCCAGAAAACCGCTGGAACAAATTAGTAAGGCCACCAAGCGGTAAACACCAAGAGGGCAGTGCTGGGGCTGAGAACACAGATTTAGCAGGAACACAATGGTGTCAAACCAACCTCATTTTCTCTTCATTAGGGCGATGGGCTGGGTACCGCAGGGAAAGCGGGAGCGATGCTATCTTTGTGCTGCCTTATGTGACATTCTCGTAAGCAAATTAGGGAAATGGGGAGTTCTGCCACTGTGGGAGGACAGCTACCCAAGGAACTATATCCCATCAGCAGTTATCAACAGCTGGTGATGGCAGACACACCGAGCAGGGGTTTTCTGGGGAAGTGTGGCTCAAATGAAGGCAATATGCTATTGAGGGAGGGTGTAGGATTAGAAATAAAATTCACCTTGATGACCTGGAGAAAAGAGAAAAAATGTGCAGAAAGAATGACTGATGGAAAAGAATCGGGCATGCTTAGTGCAGGAAAAGATGAGGGAAGTCTTCAGAGTGGGAAAAATGACCACTCTGAAGCAAGCAGGGAAAGGCAGAGAAGTGTGGAGGGTTATGCCCTGTTGCTCAGATGGCAGTCCGTCTGTCTTGCAAGCCTTGCTGTGCCCACAGACACAGCGTCCCCACTGCTGAGGGGACATCCTGCTCTGCGGTCCTGCCTGGGGACCAGGGCTGAATGTCCCTTTCTGCCCCTTCTGGGGACTGCTGGCAGGATGGACTCACCTGGGTATGGGATGACCCTGAAGGGATGGATGTCCCATCAGGGGTGGGATGCACATGTCCCAAGCAGGACAGTGTGGGCACTTTGTCCCTGGGCTGGAGGGGTAGGGGACGGGGAGGCTGACACACAGTGAGAGATGGAGAGGAGGATGAGGAGCTTGGGAAACCTTCCTCCTCTTGTCTGGGCAGCTCAGCTGGGGGTGGGAGCTGAAGTCAAAAATAATTTCAGGTTGTGTGAAAGTGACAGGGAAATTACCGCCTGGGCTGTGCCTTGTGTTTGGCTCCTTCACACATCCCGTGGAGGAGCCACAACCAGCACACTGGGATGGAGAAGGCTGGCAGGGACTGTCCCCGGCAGGGACTCTCCAGCTCGATGGGGTTGTGCCAGGGCTGGGACAGGGCTGGTCCCCAGTCTCTGCCAGGGGTGGGCTGCGGGGAGACCTGCAGGAGCAGCTTTTGTTTCCAGGCAGGTGCCGGTAAGTGGCAAGGTGCTCGGGCAGTGCTGGGAGGTGTGTGTGAAGTGGAACAGGACGTCAGAGCAGTTTCAGCTCAGTGGGTGGTTCTGGGAAAGTCCCTTTAGTAAAAGCAAGTCAAAGGCTTTAATAGAGGGACCAGCGCTGGGCTCCTTCTCAGAGATGGCTGCGAGGGCTCGGTGGATCGTGAGTTGTGATTTGAGTTGTGTTGCCATGACGTAACAGGGGGCTGGTTTCCATCACAGCCGGGTTTTGGAGGCAGGAGCCTATCCCCATGCCAGGGGTGCCACCGAACCCGCCTTGAGCCGTGTGCCTGAGGGGCAGCATTTTGCCCCCCGGGGTGGGCAGCACGCGGAGCATCCCTCTGCCCCACGGCAGCAGCCTCAGGGAAGAAGGGCTGGGCTGAAACCACAGATCCCCCAGATGAAGCGATGGGTTTGTTTGGGTGAATATGAGAGTGCCAGGACAGACGGCTGCCTTCCTGGGGGGCTCCTCCTCCTCAAAATAGCTCAAGGTCTTTAACACAGGCATGGCTGTCTTTGAAGTAAAGGGGAGATGTCAAAACCTTTAGGTTTTTCCTGCTTTCATCCACCCCCAGGTAAATCTCAGCCCCTGTCTCTGAGGGGTCCGAGGGGATGGGCAGATGCTGTGGGGCAGGTGGTCCTGTCCCGGTCCCCCTGCTGCTGCTGGCTCCCCACACCATGCTGTGGCACGGCGATGCCAGGCACCGCACGGGGCCAGCTTTCTGCACAAGGACATTTGCTGCCCTGAAGACCACCCTGTAGCAGGGTGCACGAAGGGGTCTTCTATAGTCGACCTATGGAAATGGGGGCCCTGTGCTCTGGGAAAGGAGTGGGAGGGGGTCCAGGGAGATCTGCTGCTGCTCTCTCTCTTCTTCCCCATGCACCAGACCTGAGCCAGGAATGTCCCCCAGTCCCCACCTGTGAGCATTGGAGATGCTGGTGGGACAACTGCTCCTTCACCATCCTGCTTGTAGAGTGCTGGCCCAGCCCCAGCAAGACCCCATGTCCCCGTGGCAGGGCTCTTGAGAAGGGTGTCACTCAGGTCCTATCCATAGGTTAGGGCTTTGCTAGCTCTCCATAAGGATTCTGAAGATCTGAGTCTGGCTCTTCTTCCAGGAAACCCCGCTTCCTTCCTTCTAGTCCTGCCCCAGATCATCTCATCAAGGTGTAATTAAGCATGGAAGGACCTCAAAGCAGGGAAGAACCTTGAAACTGAGGATGGGCTCTGCCCCAGGACCTTGTCGCCTCCCTCCACTTTCGCAGAAGGACCAGTGCACGTCGTGAAGGTGCTGGAGGGCTCTTGGTACAGATGACTTGCTAGCTTTTTGCTTCCAGCAGCAAAGATCAGAAGCTCCCCACCAGCCTGTGGTTACTGGGACTTACCTACATCACCTACCTCCCTTCTGGGATCTGGAGGATGAGCCTGATGTGCTGGCTCCTCTTCTGACCTCACAGCCTCTGTCACCTCTTGCGAGGCCACAGGTGCCACCACTCCATCCTTGGCAGTCCCACTGCCCCAGCTGGCCCCAGGGCAGGGCCAGCTGCTGGCACTGCTGCCCGGGCACCCAGGCTTCTGGGGTGACAAGCCAGAAGAGCTGCCACGGGGACTTACTTCATTTGAAACCAATGTGAAGTATTTTAAGTCTGATTCCTAGATCCTCCTTCCCTTTTTAAAATAGAGATCTGTCCTTCTGCAGGCTTTAATATCCTACGGTCTTTGCATTAAACCCTCCCTGCGTCTGGGAGCCTGGGTGCTGCTCCGGGCACTCAGCACGAGGAGCTGCCATAACTTTCCATGGTGGCTTCATCCCCAGCAGCCACCCAGCACACTTCCTCCAAGGCCAGGCATTTTGGGGCATTTTGTGCCCTCTCTGTGCACAGGATGGTCTCCTCTGAAAGCTTCACACTAAACAAGATAGTTTTATTACCATGGCAAGCTGAGCTTTGTTTATCAAGCTGAAGATCTTCCTCCAACTCAAGATCAGTTCTCATTTGTCATCTTCTCAAACCTGCTCTCTGTCCTGCATCTCTCTCCATGGGACGTCCTGGGGGACCTGTGCACCCAGACAGGGGTGAGCTGGAGGGCAGAGGGCTGCAGGCAGCCCCAGCTCCGCTGTTTCTACCTTCCCTGGGTGCTCTGAGCTCAGAGCACACCTCACCTCTTTCAGTTTTACGTGCAGTGCCATCGTCCCCGACTTTCCACCCTGCGGTTTCACATCAGGCCTTTTTCTGCTCGAATTGGCTGAAAGTTGTTTAAAAACAGCCCGTGCTTGGTGGCAGCTATCGAGAGAGATAAGGCTACCTGGGGCTTTATCAGCTGCTGACTCCTGCGTTTTCAGTGGGTTTCGCTTCCGTTAGTCCTATGCTGGGCACAGTCTCTGCTGGTTTGCCCTTGCTGCTGTGACAGTGATGGGCAGCCTGGCAGGAGCTGCTTTGTTGACCTCTCTGCCTTCAGACAGAGCAGCATCACGAGAGCAGGGCTGGGGGGGTTCATGTGTGGGGCTTGGGGAAACCCACTTTGTCCTTGCTTTGGGGGACATCAAAAGGATGGGCTGCATCAAAAGCAGCATTAGCAGCAGGTCGAAGGAGGTGATTCTCCCCCTCTGCTGTGCTCTCGTGAGACCCCACCTGCAGTGCTGCATCCAGCTCTGGGGCCCCCAACATAAAAAAGACCTGGAGCTGTTGGAGAGAGTCCAGAGGAGGCCACAAAGATGGTCAGAGGGATGGAGCACCTCCCCTATGAGGACAGGCTGAGAGAGTTGGGGTTGTTCAGCCCAGAGAAGAGAAGGCTCTGGGGAGACCTAATAGCAGCCTACGAGTAGCTAAAGGGGGCTACAGGAGAGAGGGGAAACACTTTATCAGGGGGTGTCATGACAGGACAAGGGGTAATGGTTATAAGCTGAAAGAGGGCAGATTTAGATTAGATATTAGGAAGAAAATTTTCACAGTGAGGGTGGTTAGACACTGGAACAAGTTGCCCGGAGAAACCATGGATGCCCCATCCCTGGAGGGGTTCAAGGCCAGGCTGGATGAGGCTTTGGGCAACCTGGGCTTGTGGGAGGGGTCCCTGCCCATGGCAGGGGGGTGGGACTGGATGGTCTTTAAAGTGCCTTCCAACCTCAGCCATTCTATGATTCTATGACATTTCACCTGGCCGAGACCTGGTGCAACATCAGCAGAGCCTGTTGACACAGGGATCAGGATGGGGCATTGCAGCTCATGCGGGAGCAAAGATTCCCCTCTGCAGCTTGTCCAAAGAGGAAAAGTTTGGGGAAAAGAAAGTTGCAACATGTATCAGCACCCAGGCTGCAAGCTTGACCCTGGTCACTGCCTCTTCCCTAGCTCCAGGTGGGACCATGGGGACCTGGAAGGACATTTTTGCAGCAAAGATTGCAGATATGCACTTAGAAGAGCCGTGGATAGTGGATACTTCAGAAGGACAATAGTCTGCAGGTGTACATCCTCAAGCCTGGCTGGAAGGAGTTTGTGCAGCGCCGTGTGCTTGGGAGGTAGGGGGCTGCCGGCTTGGACCCCATCGGAGCGGGACTGGGGACGGTGGGCTGCCATGTGGACCCTGCCTTTTCTCAAAGTTTGCTTGTAGGAAGCAGATTTTGGCATGAAAGGGGAGGTGGGTGAGGCAGGGAGGGGTTCCAAGCTTGGTGGGCTGTTGCCAAACTGGAAAAAAAATCATGGTAATTGGAGGGGAGGAGAGTGCGGCAGCTCCACGGGACCAAAGGGTTGCTGGTATTTGGACAAAGTTTCAAGATGCAAAGAGCTCCTCCAGCAAGCAACGGTAGTTACACCACCCTAGAGCCAAATTTTCTGAGTTGGCACCCAGAGGATGAGGAAAGGGAGAGCTGTGGTCTGCTGGGGTGATGCCTCAGCAGTCCCTGCATCTGCACCAGGATGCAGGGTCCCGGAGCAGAGAGAAGCTGTGGCTCTGCATTGCTGATGAGAGGCCCCATCCTGACCATTTCCACCTTGGGCAGGACCCTGGGCATCGACCAGACACCCTGCCCAGGTGGCAGCAAATGGAGATGAGGTTGTGCAGGATGAAGAGCTGCGGGTTACACACCTTTTGACTCCTCAAGACATCTCGCTTGCCCTGCAGCCTCCACCCACACCTTCCTTCTATTTTTATTCTTTTTTTTCTACTTCCCTGACCTTGGGCTTGATGTTGACTTTCCGCTGAGCTGTGATGATCCAGCATGGGTGAGGGGCTGGAGCCCCAAGTAGACCTGGGGCTTCTGGCAGTGGGGCTGGGATGGGCTAGGAAAGGGGGCCAGGGTGGTCCCAGGAGGCAGCCTGGCTCCTAAAACCTTTAATGCTGCAGCCAGCCCTGAGCTCACATCTGTGTTGAACTCACCAGACTGGCACCATGCTGTTAGGGGAAGGACAGTTTGGTGTAAAGCTTGCACAAGTGAAGTTAAGCCCTGGCTGCCCTGGTCCCTACTGATGGCACAGGAAGCCACTGGCTCAGCACGGGGAGCCCAGGATGAGCTGGTCTCCTCTGTGCCTTGGCAGGTTTCAGTGCTCCCAGTGCTTTCGTGAGTGGTCCTCGGCCAAAGCACACATCCTGTTCCACATGTGCTGGCACCAGGACTGGGGTGAGGTGCGGATGCGACCCTTTCGCCAGGTGTGCAGGCAGTGCATGGACCCCCAGCCGGAGGAGCCCAAATTTAGCCAGGAGACCGTGGAGAGGGTTCTGCACAACCTGGTGCTAAAGATCCTCAAGTACTTCTACCGTGTGTCCATCCAGACCTCCAAACTCCTGGAAGTTGTGGTGGACCTGCAGGTGGTGGGGCCGCACGACAGCACCCGCTGTGAGGGCTGCCAGCTTGGTGTCTGCAGACAGTCGAGGGTGGCCCTGGTGCTGGATACCTGGGAACCTGAGATGGATACCTGGGAACCTGTGATGGGATACCTGGGAGCCCATGATGGACACCTGGGAACCCATGATGGATACCTGGGAACCTGTGATGGATGCCTGGGAGGCTGTGATGGATGCAGATGAAGCCAGGACCCATTGTGCCCAGGGCATGAGGCCCCGTGCAGCCCCAGCCCGCCAGCGCCCACCCTTTGTTAGCAGCTTCCCCTGGAAATGCTGCTGCTTCATTGGCGGCTCTTTGCTCTGTGTTTTGGCAGCACTCCTCTTAGTCCGTGTCATGAGGAGGCTTCCTCGGCTCATGGGGGGGACAGGGACACACTGGGTACCTCAGCCGGACGCCTCGTCCCAAAGCCTCCATGAGGCTTTGGATCTGATGGCTTCTTATGGGACTGCATGAGGACAGCCCTCAGCTGCTCCATGCAGAGGATGAATGTTACTTGCAAGAATAAAACCAGCTCTTTCTCCTGAGCCTAAGGATGAATTTGTGCTTTTTAATTTCTCCAAAGCCTTTTCTGGGTGTGTGTGAGCAGCTTGGGGTGAAGCTGTGGGCTGCCTTTACCCACCAGCTGGGCTCAGCTTCCAGGGAGACACATCCTGCTGCCCTCCTGCCTTTGGCCTTGGTGGCACCCAAAGCAGCTGAGGGGCACCTAGATGATCTTTAAAGTCCCTTCCAACCCCATCCATGCTATGATTCTGTGACTATGGCTCTGAAAAACACCCTGGCAAACATAAACCCCTCCCAGCTGGCTGGGTTCCCTGTGCTGGGGGCAAAGGCTGCCCAAGGTTGGCAAGCGCAAGAAGGCTGCGGCAGCAAGTCCGAAGTCTCTGCCCTGTTAAGTCCATCATGGGGAAATGGCACTTACTGGGCTGCAGGGTCTGGGCAAAGGGGACGAGGCTGACTCCCACCCTGCGGGCCTCTGGGGGCCTGGTGGGCATCATAAAGTTTGGAGGAAAATGCCCCCTTCCTGATTTTGCAAATGATTTGATGCTGAACATGGACATGGTAGAGAAGATTCCATAACTGAATTAATGGAAGAAAGAAGGGCTGAAGGGAAGGTGTTAAACTGAATCCAGCATCACCAGTGCAGCTTGCACAGCACCAAGCCCTGGCTGCACAGCTCCCCAGGTGCTCTCCTCCCCACTGGGTCCTGCAGCACCCTTCACGCTGCTCGCTCTGAGTTTTTTGCTGGTGTAAGATTGTCCCGTATTTTCATACATGCAACCTGCAGGTATTGGTTAAAAATACAAAACAACAACAAAACCCTGTGTGACCCAGGGGCCATGTGGATTTTGTTCCTTAAGCGCGTTGTCCTCCTGCTCATCCCACTCATTCTCCCTCTTGCCCAGCTCCTTCCCCGCTCTGCAGCCCTGGCCCTGGAGCCAGCAGATGGAGCTGTGAGATCTCCAGCGCTGCACTGGGAAGCACTGGGACCGGTGACCCGCAAGCACTGGGATGGGTGAGCCTTCTCCAGGTGGGGGAAGCTCTCCCCCCATCCCTGTCCCTAGCCATTTCCCTGGAGCATGGTCCCCCCCAAAGCACATCCTACACGGGTACCGTCCTGCTCTGTGGATGAACTGGTTTCTCACTGTGATTTTTCCAGTCTCGGAGCACTGGAGATGCACATGCAATGCAAAGTGCAGGGCCTTGAACTCCTCCTGGCCCCAAACTCGGCTTGGAGGGCAGCGGTGCCCCAGCAGCAGGGCTGGGGGCCAGCCCAGTGCCACCAGCAGGAAGGACAGCCAGTGTGACCTGTCCCCCGTGGAGTGAATATTGGTGATGTCCCGAGCGTTTTGGGCAGGGGAAGAGTGGCTGAGGGAGTGCTTGGGATCCAAAGGGTCTCATAGCTGAATGGACCTCTCTTTCTGGAGGAGGTCTCTCCTCACTGGGGGTGGCTGGGGGCTCTGCTGAGGGGGGATGAAGCTGATCCCACAGCCTGGACCAACTCCCATCCCTCCCGTGTGGCTCTCCTGGCGCTGGCGCAGCCCTCCCTCTCCCCGCCGGCATTATGTCATGAAGCAGAGACATCATAGCCAAATTCCTTGCTGCCATCACCCGTAGCCCTTTTCTTTCCATGCTGAGGTTTTCCCAGCCCCACTCATCACGTCTGGCTGTCTGCAGCCTTGCCAACCACCCAGCTGCTGGGGTGGAACTCCTTCACCTCCGCCTGGGAAGCCAGCTCTGGTGGAGACCGCATCCCTGCGGGGGTCCTTATTTTCTTGCTTGGGTCTTTTTGCTCTTTTACAAGGGCAAAGCCATCCCTCACCTCCCTGCAATGCTGTCTGCACACACCCTGCGCTTACCCCATCCGTGGCTTTGTGTGCATACACTGCTTTTTCCCTGGTCCCCTCCCCACTGCCTGTTTGCCTGCCTGTCTCCTCGTGCTGTGCAGGCATGTCCTCTCCATCCCCTTCATCCCCTTCCCATTACTCAGACACTCGTGCATACGTGGGCTTCTCAGCTACAGCCTCATTTTTGGGCTCCTGCCAGGATACCCTGCTCCGATGTGCGATTGTGCCCATCTCCCACTTGTTTCTTATGAAAATGCTGCTTTTTGCGGCTCTTGGCACTTTTGGAGCCCAGAGCAAGCCCAGAGCAAGCCCCTACGGCTGAGCTCAGGGAGCAGTGACCAGCCCCCATCTGGCATGGGGACAGCCACCCCATCCCAGGGAAGGTGGCTGAGGATGAAGGATGCTCTCCCTCCCTGTGGGTCCCAGGCAGGTCCTGGCTGTCCCTCCTGGTCCCTCTGAGGTTGGGCTCTGCTGCACCATGCCTGGCACTCACACACAGCCAGAGATGGGCGAGCCTCACCCAGGGATGGTTAGCTGGCCCTTCGCTGAAGCCAGGCTGATAAACTGCTGTCTCTGTGCCTGTCTCCCTGGAGAGAAGCTCTTACCACTCCGGCAGGTCACAAGGTGCCAGCAAATGCAAAGCCCATTGTTGTTGCTCTCGCTTTTCTCCTCCGCTGCCCATTCCCAGCCCTCCCTGCCCGTTCCCAGCCCTCCCTGCAGCCATCCGCAGGGGCTGTGGGGCACAAGGGGGTGGCACTTGGCAGCACGGTGGCTTGGTGAGCAGGGGGCCAGGGCTGGGCTGGGCTGCGCTGGGGGTTTCCCACCAGAGCTATTGACAGGAGGCAGAGTCTGTATTTATCACTGATCTATTACACGGCAGCAATATTTTTTAACTTGCCCCAGAGATGTCTAGGCTCAGATCTTACAGCTGATGGTTTAATGCTCAGGGGACCATGCCTTGATTTTGCTTTTTCTTGCCCCTCTGATGTCTCTGGACATGTTAGCAGACCCGTGAGCGAGTGAGCAAGACCCACTGCCCTCCTCCTTGCTGTCAACCCAGAGGAGCCCGATGCTGTTATTTCAGTTCTGTGCCACAGGAAAACAGGGATCAATGACCCAGCTCCCAGCCCGTGGGAGGAAACAGTGGCCATGGTTTTACACTCTCTCCAAAGGCTGGATTTTGACAAA